GGCGTGACCATTCCCCCTGGGGGGTGATTTCTTGCTTTCTGTCTCTATGTCTCTCTCTGTCTGTCTGGCGAGCACACGCGCCCTATAGTGAAAAACCTCTCAAAGAAAAAAAAAAAGATACAAATCCCAACAGGATGGAGAAATGGAGAAGAGATTATAGTGTCACCATGCTAGTGTTTTCTCCCTCTTTTTCTCTCTGTCCCTGGTGAATGCACATGCTGTCTAACAATTTTTTAAAAAACTAAAGGGTGGGGCTACCCTCGTAGCACAGTACTTGGGCACTGCACAGAGGGAGCCAAATACTACATAGCCAACCAGGGTTGAACACCCAGACTTGTCTTAAAAAAATGTTCCAGGTGTAGGCCAGTCAAGTGGTATAGTGGTTAATGCACTGGATCCCACTTGGCCAACTCCGTAGCTGTTCGAGTAATGGACCCAGAGGCTTGAAAACCATGCAGGGCATGAGTGCTTGCCCAAGTCTCAAGAGGCAAGTGAAGAAGGGGGTTGTGATGTGGTCACCCCCTTGAGGAGTGCTTTCTCACTTTCTCTCTCTCTACCTCTCTGTCTCTCCCCAGCAAATACATGCAGCCTATGACAAATTTTAAAAAGGTGTTCCAGGTGCATGTGATTAGATGCCCAGGATCTTGACAGGATGGAAAATTAAAGGAAAGAGATTGCACCATGACCAGGCCCCTTTGAAAATATCTCTCTCAGGCCAGGAGGTGATGTGGTGGTTAAAGGCGTTGGATTCACACACAGCCAACTGTGGTTGGAGTCCTGGACCTGGCGGCTTGCTTTCTCCCTTTCCCTTTCTCTCTCTCTGGTCAAATTAAAAAAAAAAAAAAAAAAAAAAAAGGAATTAAATAATTCTTTTTAAAAAAGAAAAAAAGTATCTCTCTTCCTCCCGCTCGCTCTCTCTCACATGCACATGTGCCCTCTGGCATTTAAGGGGAAAAAGGGGGTTATAGGGCCAGATGCTACTACAGTGGTAATGCAACTGAACTCACGTGGTATGTGAAAGGTCTGGGGCTTACATCCCGAGACCTTCTTGAACACAGCAGATGCGTGAGTGTTAATGGTTTGAGCTGTCTGAGGCTGGAGGTGAACTGTGGGGGTGCCTGTCTCTGCCACTTCGATAGAGAAATAAAAATTTAGAAAACAAAGCATCAATTCAGTGTTGGTTATAAGATTTTTTGGCTCTGAAAGGGCTTTAGACTGAATATTGTGACCCCATCATCCACCCTACCCTCAACACACGAAATTCATATATTGAAGCCTACTACCCAATGTCACAGTATTTAGAGGTGGGACATAGTTAGAGGAGGTGATGAAGTCATGAGGTCTCCACCCTTATGAATAAAATTAGTGTTTTTATAAAAGGTCCCACTTGCCCTTCTGCCATGTAAGGATATAGTGAGAAGATAGTGGTCTATTAAGCAGAAAGCAGGTCTTCACCAGATATAGAATCTGCTGGTGCCTTGATCTTGGACTTCCTAGCCTTCAGAGCTTGAGAAATAAATTTCATGTTTTTTTGTTTTGTCTTTTAGGATTTTTTTTTTTTGAGAGGTTTTTGCTATAGGGCGTGTGCGCTCACCAGACAGACAGAGAGAGATAGAGAGATAGAAAGCAAGAAATCACCCCCCAGGGATGGATGGCCACGCCACAATCCCTTCTCCTCCATTCTCCTCTCGGGATCTTGGGCACGCACGCACACGCGCCTGGTATGAGTTTAAGCCACTGGGTCCAGGACTCGAACTGCGGTCGACTATGTGGGAGTCCAGTGACATAGCCCTTACGCTAACTGCTGGTCCCAGTGTCTTTTAGGTTTTTGCCATACTTGTCTAGTTACTAGACAAAGAGGGAGAAGGAAAGTGAGAAATCATCCCCTGGGGGGATAGCCATGCTGCAATCCCTTCTTCTCCATTCTCCTCTCTGGATTTTGGACACACACACACACATGCCTGGCATGATTTTCAAGCCACAAAGTCCAGGACTCAAACCACAATCAGCCATGTGGGAGTCCAACACCTTAACTACAATGCCACCTTCTGGCCTCTAAATTTGTTATCAACAAACCAGTTTGTGGCATTTTTGTTGTAGTGACAATGACCCCATGCTTGGCCAAACTCCTGAAACTTTCCCTAGGCCCATGTTTACACTTCCTTGTAAAATCCAGTTTTAGTAAAGAATCCCACTGCATCAGTCTAGCAAGAATCACTCCGCCCCTGCCAAGACACACCCACACCCGTGGGGAAAAAATTCACATACACAGAGAGTAAAGGGTTGTTCACTTTCTACAAGAAATGGTCAGATGCAGAGAACTGCATCAGCCCTAAAGGGTTAGGGCTATAGGTTTGTATTGGGTTTTCAAGAGCAAAGGGGTTATGGCTGGGTAATTGACCTTAGACAAGATTCCTTTAAGTCTTCACTTTTATTTATTTATTTATTTTAATGAATTTGTCATAGAGCTGGAGAGACAAAGTGAAAGAGTCACCTCAGGGGGAATGGTCACACCACAATGTCTCCATCTCCTCTTAGGATTTTGATCAAACACGCACACGTGCCAAGCGTGATTTTCAAGACATTGGTCCAGAACTCCAACTGCATAGACATATAGCACCCAGCCACCTTTGCCACCACACCACTGGCTGGCCCTCTTTCTGTTCTCTTACAATTTGGTTATTTCATTATTATAGATACTGCGTGTTTTACCTCATCTCTTTGACCTGACATATATTCTGTTGGTGTTAATTCTGGTGCCAGCCAATAAGGGGTCTAGCAATCTTTATGTCCGAAGGCAAGAATTTAGAAAACAAGGGTCAGGCTTCTGTGATAAGAAAAGCAAGGAGGGTTGGCCATTTCAGAATAGGTAGGGAGGTAGAAAAGAAAAATGCCTAAGGTACCTATTAGGCACTGGATACAACCTTTCAACTTTTGCTCCAGATAGAGGAATTGTTTGTGTTGAAAGTAAATCATGGGACTTGTAGGTAGCATGGTGGTTAAGGCACTGGACTCCCATATGGTCAACTTTGGTTAAAGTCCTGGACTCTGTGGCTTTCTTTCTTGCTTTCTCTCTTTCTGGTGAGCTCACATGCCCTATAGCGAAATGAAAAATAATAAAAGGCCAGCAGATGGTGTAGTGGTTACGTTGCTGGACTCCTACATGTTTGACAGTGGTTTGCATCCCGGACCTGGTGGCTTGAAAATCACAACAGGCAGGTGTGCATGAGCACACATGATCCTGGGAGAATGGAGAGGGGATTGTGGTACGGCCATCCTCCCTAGCAGGTGATTTCTCGCTTTTCCTCTCACTGTCTGTCTCACTTTCCAGAGAGTGCATACGCCCTAAGACAAAACTCTCTTTAAAAAAAGAAAAACAATACTTAGTTTTTAATTAAATTATAATTTACTTTCTCTTCTATTTTTTTTTAATTGCCAGGGCACATATGCACCAACTAGAGTGAGAACGGCATGAAGAAAACACCTCCAATGGGACATGGTCAAACCATGATCTCTTTTCCTCCATTTTGCCCTCCCATTAGGATTTTGGTCCTGCAAACACTTCTCTCAACATTCCAGGGCTAGGATTCTAATTGTATCAGCCACCTGGCATCCAGGTCCTGACTCATGGTACCTAACTATTAGGGCTGATTCCCCTTACTCTGACTTCCAATGTTGATCTATCTTTCCAACTTCAAGGGATAAAAAGGACGTCTTTTTTTTTTTCTTTAAGATTTTTGCTATAGGATGCCTACACTCACTGGAGACAAAAAGTGAGAAATCAGGACCCAGGGGAGTGCCCATGCTGCAATTCCTTCTCCTCTCAGGATTTTGGGTATGCAAGCATGCTCAGTGTGAGGTTTTCTTTTTTTGTTTTTTTTTTTTTGGGGGGGGGGAGAGGTTTTCGCTATAGGGCGCGGGCTTTTGCAGACAGACAGAGAAAGACATAGAAACAGAAAGAGAGAAATCACCCCCCAGGGGGGGACGGTCACGCCGTAATCCCTTCTCCATTCTCCTCTCAGGATCTTGGGCACGCATGACACACGTGGTCCCCCTCAGTGGGAGTTTTAAGCCCCTGGGTCCAAGACTGAACCAGTCAGCCATGTGGGAATTCAGTGACTTAACCATTATGCCATCATCTGCTGGTCCTAGACGTCTTCGGTATAGAATTCAAGAGTTAGGTCTTGGGACCAGCAGTTAGCATAATGGCTATGTCACTGGACTCCTACGTAGTCGATCGCGTTCCCGTCCTGGACCCGGAGGCTTAAACTCACGCTGGGTGCGTCTGCATGCAGGCCCAAGATCCCGAGAGGAGAATGAAGAAGGGATTGCAGCGTGGCCATACCCCCTGGGGGGTGATTTCTCTCTTTCTATCTCTCTGTCTCTGTCTAGAGAGCAAACGCGCCCTAAAGCAAAAAAAAAGTTAGGTCTTAGACTAAGTTAATTAAAAAGCCAAGTAACAACTGTCAACGTGCCGTTTTGGTTTTTTAATTTATATTTTCAGATTTTTGCAACAGGGAGCGCTCACCTGGGGGAGGAAGAGAAAGAAGAGTGAGAGCAACCACCCCCCTGTGGGGGATGGCCATGCTGCAATACCTTCTCAAGTCTCCTCTTAGGATTTTGGGCATGCAAGCACACACGCCGGGTATTTTCAAACCTATGGTCTGAGCTAGAACCATGGTGGGCCTGTGGGAGTCCAGGCCTTAAACACCACGCCACCTGCTTGCTCAGCGCCATTTTATTTTATTACCATATGAGTAAATGCTTATAAAGCCAAGGTCCAAGCACAGATGAAGCATAGAAAGAGGATTAGAGAGTTTTTAGGAAAATGAAGAAAACAACAAAACCAGGTACATGCTCCACTCCCTTGAAGGTTCCTGCAAAACCACTCAGGCAGCTCTGCGGCTGCCTGGTTGCAGTCCGGGAAGCCGTCCCCGCTCGGCCTGACGTCAGAGAACAGCGCCGAGGAGAAAGGGGCGGGGCTTCCGGCTGTGCCGGATACGCTCTGGGTTAGCGACCCGTGTTCTGAGAGGGGAGCTGCTGGGCTGCGGCACTTCACTGTATCCTGGGGCCTCTGGAGTCCCTGCGCTTTCCGCCGACAAGAGCCACTGTCTGTACTCTGGTATGTGAGTGTTTCTTCTTTCTCCCAGCGTGTGTTGGGGTCGGAGGACGCGGGGGACTGTTCAAGGCGCACTTAGACGGTGCGTGTGCGCCATGGAGGCCCACAGATGCCGGAAGCCCAGTGATTTAAACTAGGAGTACAGTACTTGAAACAAGAGCAGTGTCACCTGAATGATATCCTGGTACAGGCTCCTGGCGTGTCTTTCACCTATCAGGTTCGGACTCCAACTACTCAGTGGCCCACGTGAGATCCAGCCACCACACCACCTCTGGCCCAGGCCTTTATCAGTTGCAAAGACAAAACTCAAAAGGTATTTGTCTCTGAAACCAATATTTTCAAGATTGAGACCTGAGGATGACAGGCTAAATATTTCAGCGGGTATAAAGGGAGTCTGAACGTTTTTTGTTTTGTTTTGGTACATAAATTAGCTCATATATTGTAGGCTAGAGGTATTCCAAATGTCTACAGAGTTTATGCTGGTCTTTCAGTTCCTTTAGTCTTCTGATGGCAGACTTTACTGTGACAGCCGAAGTGGTGGTGTAGATCCAGGCACCACCCAGCTGTCGTTTTCATGCAGGAATCACGGTGCAGACCCCCACAGCCCGTCTCTTCATCTTAGTTTTGCCACAGAAGGAGCAAATGTACTTGGCGTGCTGGCTGATTTAAATTTTCTTCACCGTTTTCCAGAGGGAGGCACCATAGTGGGTCCCGTGTTTACCGACAATACCAATCTTCTTCTTGCATTTAGCCATATCACTGCCAGCTAGGTCCGAGCCCAGAGAGCAACATTTTTTAAAAATGAGAAACATTGACGCAGAGCGTTTATTTGAAAAATATTTTAATGATTACCGCGAGTGAAATACTCCCAAATACTGGGTTCATTGTTAATATAAACACTTTAACTACTAGGCCACAGGCCAACCTCAGTTTTTTTTCCTTCTGACTTGACAGTGGGTTTCACATCTTTGTGCATCTTCATCACCTTGTGGACATCTAGATCTTTGGGATACAGTTTGGAGCTCTAAATATATTTATTCCATTTATTGATATTTTGTTTGGCTGTAGTTATATTTGCTGCAAATTGAAGCCTTAACTGGAGGAGTTTTGTTCATTTTGTAATTAGTAGATCTTTGTATATTTTTGTTTTGAAAACACAAGGCATTGGTACAACAGCTCCTACGTACTATTTACAGGTTGCCATTTTCTGTCACTTTTCTGTCCTTGTTGTCATGTGTTAGCTTTGTGAAAGATCTTGTGTTTGGGTCTGTATGTGGGCTTGGTTAAAACAAAAGAAAATACAGCATTATCATCTCAGCAGCATCAGTGATGTATAACTTTGTTATTCAGTACATTGATGCTCTTGATCCTTAGCTACATATTTAAAAGGGATCTTTACGTTATCCTTTTTCCTAAAACAACAGTGAAACTCATGTCTAGAATAAAAACCCAAATAAGTTTTTTTCTTTTTGGAGAGGTTTTTGCCATGGGGCACGTGAGCTCGCCGGAAAGACTGAGTGATCACAGACACTAGGCCATGGAAGTGTAGGAAAAATTAATGCTTCAGCACATAAAGTTGTACAAAGATTCACTTTGTGTTTCAAATTTATACTTGTATAGTGGGAGGTTTTAAATTTTTTGCCTAATTTTTCATTGCATTTTTCTTCTACAGGGGTTCTCCTCAAAATGAGTGTCAGTGTCACTTTCTTAAGACCTTTTGTCAGGTTTTTGTTGCCCTTTCGGAAGAGAAGTAATTTATATTCAACAGTTGTGCAGAGATGCGTGTCTTCCAAAATACCAACTATGTTTTATTCTAATACGGCAAATACATCCTCTTCTGAACCACTAGAACTGGATGGTTGGAAAACTACAATGAAATCTAGTGTGCCAGAAGAAGGTGCTTCAACAGTCTCGAACGGCATGGATGAAGATCCTTTAGCTGCCACCAGAGAATTAATTGAGATGTGGAGATTGCTTGGCAAAGAAGTACCAGAGCACATCACTGAAGAAGAGCTCAAGGCCATTGTGGAATGTAGTTCTAAATCATCAAAAAAAAAATATTTAAGATACCTCTATGTTAAAGAAAAAATGAAAAAAGCTAAGCAAATAAAAAAAGAAAGAAAAGCGGCAGCAAGGGAGGAAGCAATGAAAGACAGGCTGCTAGAAACGGCTGAGGAAGATAAACAACAGAACTTTCTGTTTCTACGACTTTGGGATAGGCATATGAACATTGCAATGGATTGGAAGTGTGCCCAGGCCATGCAGTTTGGACAACCTTTGGTTTTTGACATGGATTATGATAATTATATGAAACCAAAAGAGCTACAGAATACTATTTCCCAACTTTTAGAAAGTGAAGGATGGAACAGAAGAAATGTTGATCCTTTCCATATTTATTTCTGTAATCTTAAAATAGATGGTGTTTATCATAGAGAGTTAGTTCAACGTTACAAAGAAAAATGGGACAAATTGCTTTTAACAGCAACAGAAAAATCTCATGTAGATTTATTTCCAAAGGACAGTATTATATACTTAACTGCAGATTCTCCCAATGTTATGACTACTTTCAAGCATGATAAAATTTATGTAGTTGGGTCTTTTGTTGATAAGAACATGCAGCCAGGGGCATCCCTAGCTAAGGCAAAACGGCTGAAGCTGGCAACAGAATGTCTTCCATTAGATAAATATTTACAATGGGATGTTGGTACCAAAAATCTCACTTTAGATCAAATGATGCGTATTTTGTTATGTCTAAAAAATACTGGTAGCTGGGAAGAGGCTCTAAAGTTTGTTCCTAGGAGAAAACATACTGGTTTTCTGGAGGTACCTCAATATTCTAAAGAGTTTGTCAACAGACTGAGGAGAGCAAAGACTTCTACTTCATTTTCAAAAAGTTCTCTCAGTGTAGCACACAGAAGAGGTGGCTTGAATTGAGAAAGTTTGATAGCTTAAAAATAAATGGTTTGGAAATATAGCTCTATTAGTATACTTCTTGAATAGACTTTTCTTTCTTTTAAAGGTACTGTTTCCAAGCTAACTGCAAGTTTGTTTATTTTCCTAATTAACTAAATACCTACAAGACTTTGGGAATCTATTTTGCTTACAGTAAAAATGCACTTAATAATTTGACAAAGTAAAAAGACTTGTCTAAGTTTAATAGAATAAATTTAAATGAACCCACTTAAGCAATTTTACTATACATGTGACTGTTTCATAGTCTTTGTCTCAGATTCCATTTCTCTTTTTCAAATTTTTTTTAGGATTTTTGCCATAAGACATATGTGCTCACCAGAGAGAGAGAGAGAGAGAGAGAGAGAGAGAGAGAGAGAGGAAAAGTAAGAAATTACCCTCAGGGTGCTCGCTTCGTCAGCACATATACTAAAGAAATTACCCTCAGGGAGGATGGCCACACCACAATCCTTCTCCACCATTCTCCTCTCTGGATTTTGAGCACACACACACACATGTGCCTGGTGTGAGTTCAGTACTTGAACTGTGGGTAGCCATGGGGGAGTCCAGCACCTTAACAACTATGCCACCTGCTAGCCCCTTATATTTTATCTATGTCAACAACTACCCTTTCATGAAAAATTCATATAGGAAGTATTTCTAAAGGTCATCTTTTTTTATGACTCTCTGGTCCCAAGAATGGCCAAAGGGATGTTAAAGTCACCAAGAATAGCTCAGAGGTTGCCAAGGACTTGTTTAAAAGTATTTTCAAGTCCGACTGAGAACTCTGACATTTGGAAATAGATATGATGTGAATATTTTATTTTATTATCTTTTTTTCTTTTTTTTGGAGAGGTTTTTGCTATAGGGTGCATGCACTTACCAGAAAGACAGAGAGAACAGAGAGACAGAAAGTGAGAAATCACCCCCCCCCAGGGGGGTGGCCACACCGCAATCCCTTCTCCTCCGTTCTCCTCTCAGGATCTTGGGCACACACGCACATGTGCCCGGCATGAGTTTAAGCCACTGGGTCCGGGACTCGAACCATGGTCAACTACATGGGAGTCCAGCAACGTAGCCATTACACCAACTGCTGGTCCCAAGATGTGAATATTTAAATTATGGCTTCATAAAATAGAAAACATGTCTAAACTTCAGGTAGTGGTTCATTTATTAAAGGCCAGGCATAACAGGTATTAGGGTATATCACTTACCTGAATCTTGGTTAAACAAAAGATTAAGGCATCCCTTAACATGTCATGGAATTTGGCTATACCATGAAAATTGGGTTTTCAAGCGTGAGAATTACTGATAATTTCTTATTTAGTAAAAAAACTTTATTTGGTTAATGTTGCACATGGTACTTTTGCTATTGTAGTGTAGATAGCTTTCCTTTTCTAGGGAACACTTTTCTAGCCATATGGTTTGAATGGAAGCTGCCATATTTTTGCAGTACTTCCTTCCCTTGCCATAGCTAATTCCAAAGGACATATCATTCTCCAACTAGGCTACCCATAGTATACCACCTCCCCTGCCAATTGATTATCTAGGTTTGGGCATCTGACTTTTAGATAGGGTTGTCAGGGGCCAGCAGGAGGTGTGGAGGTTAAGGTATTGGATTCCATATGGCCAGCTGTTTGGTTAGAGTTCCAGAATAGGTGGCATGACAATCACACCAGGTGTATGCATGCTCAAAATCTCAAGAGACTGGAGGAGAAGGGATTGTAGTGTGACCATTCCCCCCTCCCCTCCCAGTGGGAAATCCTTGCACCCTATAGCAAAAACTAAAAAACGGGGGGGGGGGGGGGGGGGGGGGACATAAGATAATGTAATGATTATGTACAGGACTCCCTGCTGTTCAAGTCCCGGACCCAGTGGCTTGAAACTCACACTAGTACATGTGAAAGCATGCATGTTGAAAATCCAGAGAGGAGACGGAATTGTGGCGGGCCATCTTGCCTAGGAGGTGATTTCCCATTTTCTGTCTCTAACTGTCTATCCGGCGAGCACATACACAGGATTTTTGGATTTGAGAACTAAGGTAACCTTCATTAGTTCCTTTCTGGAATCTACATTGCTTAATTTCTTGAAATGTCTGTTTTCTACTTCTGTATAAAGGAGATTATAGTTTTTGACAACTAAGGCAATGTACATGTCACAAAGTGTTCAATAAGTACCTATTAACTTGGGGCCAGCAGGTGGCATGGTTGTTAAGGTGCTAGACTCCTACATGGCTAACTGTGGTTCAAGTCCTGAACCTGGCATCTTGCTTTCTCACTTTCTTTCTCTGTCTCATGAGTGTGTGTGTCCTATAGCAAATAAAAATAGTAATAAATCTTTAAACAGTTTTTAAAAAGTACTAATTTTTTAAAGTTTCATGAGTGTGAGAGACAGAGATAGGCACCATAACAGGGTCTTCACATCACAATCCACCCCTCAGCCTTAGCCAGCCCCAGATCATAGCACATCGTATCCTGATGTGTTGAGGGAGGTGTCTGGATGCAAACCTTGAACCTTTCCATATGATGTGAGTCAGCCTCACAGAGCACTGCATCACCACTGTGCCACTGTCCTGCCCAGTTGCCTGTGTTCTAATTGTCTTCCCTTCTTGCTTGTTTGACATTTTCTTTCATGTAATACCATTTTTAGTTCTCTCCTTTTGCTATTTTTAAACATGCTGACAACTCAGCTTTTATTGAAACCAATTTTTTTAAAAAATTTATTCATTTATTTTAATTTGACAAGACAGAAAATGAGAAAGCAAGCCACCAGGTCCAGGACTTGAACCATGATTGACCTTGTGGGAGCGCAATACCTTAACCACCATACCTACTGGTACCAAAACAATTTTTAAGGAATTATTCATTAGTTTTATTTATTCATTTATTTATTTTAATTCAGCCAGAGAGAGAGAGAGGGGGGGAAATGAGAAAGGAAGCCACCAGGGCTGGGACTTAAACCATGGTCAGCTATGTGGGGAGTGTCCAGCACTTTAATCACCACACTATCCATTGACCCCTTAGAAACAATTTTGAGACTTTTTCTTGCCCTATTATTGTTTCCATAATATCGAAGGCAGATCTCTCAAGCAAGTATTCAGAACTCACCTATTTCTAGGACTAGCAGATAGCATAATGGTTACATCACTGGACTCCCACATAGTTGACCTTGGTTTAAGTCCCAGACCCAGCGGCTTAAAATCACACTGTGTGTGTGTGTACTCACGTTAGTGCCCACACCTGTCCCAAATCCTGAGAGGAGTATAGAGGAAACAGGATTGGGACCAGCAGTTAGTGTAATGGCTATGTCGCTGGGGTCCCATGTCGTCGACCGCAGTTCGTGTCCCCGACCCAGTGGCTTAAAACTCATGCCGGGCGCGTGTGCGTGCGTGCCCAAGATCCCGAGAGGAGAATGGAGGAGAAGGGATTGCGCGTGGCCATCCCCCTGGGGGGTGATTTCTTGCTTTCTGTCGCTGTCTCTCCAGTGAGTATTCACGCCCTATAGCAAAAAAAAAAAAAAAAACTCTCCAAAAAAAAAAAAAAGAAAAAGGATTGTGCCGTGGCCATCCACTTGTGGTGATTTCTTGCTTTCTGTCTCTGTCTCTCCAGCGAGTATTCACACCCTATAGCAAAAAACAAAAAACAAACAAAAAATTCCCTGTACACTAGTGCTGTTCAATTAAAATAAAATGCAATCCCAACGTACAGTTTTTGTAAGTATAAGTTGGCAAATTTTATACACGAAATACAAAGTAGTATACGTGCATACTTTTGAAATCTAGTAGCCATACTCAAACAGGTGAAATTAGTGTAATTTTGCTTAATATGGTCACATAATTGCATTTCAATTTGTAATTAGTAAGAAAGTTAATGAGATTTTACATTCTTTTTTTACACTAAAACTTCAAAATTTGAATGATTATAGCATATGTTAATTCAAATGCTAAATTTTTAATAAAGTGAAATGCAGTGCTACCAGAACAGTAGTGTGCTTAACATAAAGTACTTCAGTTTTTAAATATAATTTTTAAGTAACATTAAAAATTCAATTACACCAACTGTATTCAAGTATTCAGCAGTCACATGTAGCTCATGACTGGACTGTTGAACAATGTAGCTTAAGAATACTGCTTGAAGGGTTGGCTGGTGGCATGACGGTGAAGACACTGGACTCCCACTGGCCAACTGTGGTTCAAGTCCTGGACCTGGTAGCTTGCTTTCTTGCTTTCTCACTTTCCCTTTCTCTCTGGCCAAAATTTAAAAAATAATAACAAATGGAATTAAGTAATTCTTCTAAGAAAATACTGCTTGATAACCCTATAATTCGTTTTATGTTTTTATTCTTCTATGATTTCCAGCCAGATTCAGTGGTCACTTCTTACTAATTACTGAACTGTGGCATATTTCACTGAACTCTCCTTAAAATAATGTCTTCCCTGATGTCCATATCACAGCAATTTGCTGTGACATTTCCCATTCTAGCAGCTTATCTTCCTCTTTGGCTTATTTTTCATTAATTGGTTCAGTAAATATTTACTGAGCACCTACTATGTACTCAGAAGTTTAGGTGCTACAGATATAGCACTGAGCACATTCCCTGCCTTCATGGATATTAAATTCTAGTGGGCAAAGGGGAAAACATACATATATAAAATGTCAAATGCTAATGAGTGATATGAAAGTAAAGGGAGAAAGAATGCTAGAGTGGGGAGATATTTCTAGTTTATAAAAAGTTACTGGGAACCAGCAGTTAGCGTAATGGCTATGTCGCTGGACTCCCACGTAGTCGACCGCGGTTCATGTCCCGGACCCGGTGGCTTAAAACTCACGCCGGGCGCGTGTGCGTGCGTGCCCAAGATCCTGAGAGGAGAATAGAGGAGAAGGGATTGCGGTGTGACCATCCCCCCTGGGGGGTGATTTCTCGCTTTCTGTCTCTATGTCTCTGTCTGTCTGGCGAGCGCACGCGCCCTACAGTGAAAATCTCTCAAAAAAAAAAAAAAGTTAGGGGGTCAGCTTGTGCTGTGGTGGTTAAGGCACTGGATCTCACGTGCCTGACTCGGGTTTGAGTCCCAGACCTGGAAGCTTGGAGAAACATGCTGGTCACATATGCATGCCCAAAATCCTGAGAATGTACAGGGATTGCAGTATGCCCACTCTTCCACCCCTAGGGGTGATTTCTCACTTTACCTCTTTGTCTCTTTATCTGTCTCCAGCAAGTGCACCCACTCTATGGCAAACATCTTAAAAAAAAAAAAAAAAGATGAGCCCTATAAAAGCATATATGTATGCTGCTGGGAATTATTCAGTAGTAGAGGGGAAAATCCAGTGAAGTGGTAGAATGAGTGGAGTTATGTAAGCAAAAAGGATGGGCTCAACTGCTAAGTGATAAAATAACTTTCCTCTCTATATGTATATGTATATTTAATTGATTTTTATCCTTTGTTTTACTTTAGCTATAGGACCATGTACTTGCCAGACAGATGTACAGTGAAATATCACCACCACCTGCCCTGGCCCCAGCACAATCCCTTCTCCATTCTTTCAGGATTTGTGGCATGCCTATGTGTCCCATATGTTTTAAAATCCACTAAATCTTGAACTTGGAACTTCATAGTCAGCCATGTGAGATCTACCTGCCTTCACCACCATGCCACTGGCTAGCCATCCTTAACCCATTTTTAGGGGTTATTGAAGCTTACTTTTATGTATTTATTTTTAATTTGCTATAGAGTATGTGCACTCACCAGAGAGAGAAGAGAGAAGTGGGTAACATTTCCCAGGGGGATGGCCCTTCTCCTCCATTCTCTACTTGGGATTTTGGGCATACACACACAAGCTGCCAGGTCTGGGACAGTTGGCCATGTGGGATTCAGCTGCCTTAAACTCCATACCATCTGCTAGCCACATTTTTTACTTCAATGAATGTTTATCAAGACTAGAATAATAGATCTCAGGGAACAATGGTGAGTAAGACAGGCACAATCTGACATCAAAGAACTGACAGGTGAGTGGATTACTATCTTCCATTCTTAATTTCTGCCGTGTAGTATATGGGAACCAGATCTGTTCCTAGATAGGCATGTGACCCCTCATCATTTAAAAATAGAAACATCTATAAATAAATAGATGATTTCAAATAAAATTCTCATGTATATGTCTATTAATGGTAGAAATGAATCTTGATTACTTTTCAAAGATCACATGTAGGAAAAAATGAAACACATGAATTTAAGTATTTGATCAGCCTTCATTTCCTAGTCACTTTTTACATATATTGTGTGGTAAATGATGGACCAGGGACTTCAACCCAGATCCCAAAATAACTGCCAAACTGCCCTGCTTTTGTCTTGAGAAACACATGATTCTTTCTCCATTCCCTAGACTTGAAGCTTAAGGAATCACCCACCTACAAATATTGGGTATCTTTCATATATGAAACAGTACAAAGTGCTGTGAAGGAAAAAAAAAATTTAAATTCACTTATTGAGAGAAAAATGGAGAGATTCTCCAAAAAGGGTCCCCAAGCTGTAATACATTCCATCCTCATCCATCACGTGCTCACGGAAGCTAGGATAAGGCAACCCAGGACCTGACCCATGTGGGTCTGGGTGTGCGACCACTGCACCACCCTCTGGTCCAGAGCATTTCTAAAAAAAAAAAAAAAGTCTTGAACTGAGCCATTTAAGAGACTTTTTTTGGGGGGGGAGGGAGAGACAGAGAAAGCAAGAAATCACCCCCAAGGAGCATGGTCATGCTGCAATCCCTTTTCCATTCTCCTTTTGAGATTTTTGAATACCCACCTATATGTGCTGCTGTGATTTTCAAGCTGCTGGGTCCAAGACTCGAACCACCTTCTGAAGAGGTTAAGACCACTGTGCCACCTGCTGGCTCAGAGAGACACTTAACACTGGATGGGACCAGTAGATGGTGTAATGGGTTACTAGTTGGACTCTCACTACAGTTGGAATTCCAGACTCCAGTAGTTTAAAACTCAGGCTGGGTGCATGTGCCTATGTGCCCAAAATCTTGAGAGACTGGAAAAGAAGGGATTGCAATGTTGTCATCCCACTTGGAGGGTGATTTTTCACTTTCTGTCTCCGGCAAGCACACACTCCCTAAAGCAAAAATCTCTCTTAAAATTGTTTTAAATGGAGGCCAGCAGGAGGTGTAGTGGTTAATGTGCTGGATTCCCACATAGGTGAAAATGGTTCAAGCCCTGGACCCAGTGGCTTGAAAAATCACAACAAATAAATAAATGGCTTAAAAACAAACAAAAACAAAAAACAAAAACCTCAAACTGAGGGAAGTGTAAAGTGACCAAAGAATGGTATAGAGAAATTTATCGATTCCCTGTGACCATCCTTTCAGAAGGTGCTATTATTGTTTCTGATTTACAGAGAAGTAAAGTTAGGTCTGTAGACTGGTTACAAGACAAAGTTATAAGCCAAAAAAAAGGTACATCAGAGATTCAAACCAATGTTCTGAATCTTATGTTCTCTAACACTGTTATCTTGCAGGACAAACCCAGAAACCTTAGTTCCTTAGGCAACTAGCCGATCCTGTCTGGTGAGAGGGCAGGATAAATGTAAGGGAAAAGTAAAGGTGAAGCCAAAAAGTTAGGCGAGGGCCTAAGGCAACGCACGGGCTTCATTTTGCATACTTAAGGTTTCTAATTACTGCAGTATTGACAGTTTCTCATAATTTGACAGAGACACTGCAGGCTGTAAGAAAGGTGGTTGTACCACGATGCTACATGACTTGGGACAAATCACTCTAGGGTCTCAACTCACACCTACTTTCCAGAGCCTAAGTCCGCATTGGACTACTGACGGCATTAAACGAGAGTGTGTGACTGGTGTCTGACACTAGAGGTCGCTACACTAAATGCTGTTTTCTTCTTTAAATAGGGAAAAAGACAACGGCTCAATTATCTTCCTTTGACGTAGAGTAAGCAGTACACGTGACCCACCGAGGCCAAAATGAACCCTCTGGCCAGCTTCATTTCAACCCGGGAGCGCAGAAACCTTGTTAAGTAAGGTTCCACCAACAGTCCCAGGGTGGTGCTCCCAAGTCCTCTCACTCTTCTTACTTGCAGCCGAACCATGAAAGCCTACGTGCCCTGTAGCAAAGTCCTTAAACTTTCCTTCACGTGCCTCCCCACCCTCAGCATACCTCACTTCCAAGGCCGCTAATAGATGACGTCACATGCACTTCCGTTTCCCAACGCCCCCCCCCCTCCATTCTCCACGGCCGCTCTAGGCTGCTCCCTCGGAGGCCGAGCCCCAAGCTCAATGGTTCCTGGGCGGGGCTGTGACGTCCTTGGCGTGGCTGCAGGGGAGGCCGCGGCGGGGAAAATGGCGGACGGGAAGGCGGGAGAGGAGAAGCCTGAAAAGCCGCAGCGAGCTGGAGCCGCCGGAGGTGAACATAACCCCAGCGTCGCGGGTTGTGTGGGATGCTCTGGGCTTTTCTGTGAGCTCCCCGGGGTGGGGGAAGTGGGGTAGGGAGAGAATGGGCGGATCCGGTGCTCACCCGGCCAGGTACTGGGCCCAGACGAGCCCTGGGCACGCCCGGTGCGGCCCGCCGGGATCCGGGCCCACGTTGCCTCCTTGCCGGGAGACAACTGGCTACTGTTCGTCACCTCCTGGCCCCCACTGAGGCCTTGCTTCCGAGGAGAAGGGAGATGGAGCCCAGGAAAGGAGATCAGACTCGGGTGGGACCAGGAGCGGCGTAGCGCTCCCGCCACACCGGAGCCGCAAATAACACACTACACACACCGGAGACGCTCCTCACACAGAGCACAAAACGGCCACCACGCAGTGGCTGCGGGGACTGCCGCAGGCCGAGTTTCCCACGGCTCCGGCTCTCAGTTACACGTAGGAGTTCTTTTTCAAGCCTAATCCTGACCCTGTAACGGGACGGGCGCTGATGGTGGAGGGACAGCAATGAATGCCTTCGCTTATCATAACTCCGGTGTAAGCTGCGGAGTGTCTAGGGCAGGGTTGGGTCGCCTTTCTCTGAGGTAGCTGCCTTTTATTGGTTATGCTGTTGCTAGTTTACCGCCTGCCAGATGTGTAGATGACTAGACTAGTGTGATTCTTTCTGTATTTTGTTACCGTGTTAAACTCAGCTTACGGCTGCCCCTATTCTGTACTCCCCATCGTAAATTTGGGTTTTAATGCGTTAAAGAAATATCATGTAATCTCTCCAACCCCCTTTGTCGTAACAAGGCAAGTGATTTAACACGTGCGAACAGATCATAATGTCTTGCTCAGAATATTTTAAATATTCTTTGTTCTACCCTTAAATTTAGCCCTTAAAGTACTTGATGTGAGAAAATACGGACTATTAGTAATGAAAGCAAGGCCCTACTTACATAATTGTTAATGTGAATTGCCTTGGGAACAAAAATTATTGTGAAGATAAGTATAATGTTCAATTACTTTGGGCCCAGAATTTCCATTTTAAAGCATACAATGCTATTAGTTGAGCTTTTGCACCCCCCCCCCCAATAAGCAATTTAAACCATCTAGTACTTTCTCAGTAGGTATTTTATTTCGGAAAAAAAAAATCTGTCTTGGAAATTGGCTAGTAAAATTACATAAACAGAAGTAGTGTGAAGAAAAACTAAGGTCTGTTGTCTAGAGAATCTTAAGTGGGTTTGACTTTAAATACTTGGTATAATTTTTTTTTTTAAAGTCGTTATTGGGCATGTGTGCTCGCAAAAGAGAGAAGAGGGCAAGTGAGAAAGCATGCTGCCAGGTGTGGATTCAAACTGCAGTTGACCATGTGAGAGTCCAGCACCTTAACCACCTGCTGACCCACTAAGATCACGTTTTTGTTTGTTTATTGAGAGATTTTTGCAATTGAGCCTGTGTGGCTGTAGAGACAGAGACACAGAAAGTGAGGAATATCCCCTAGGGTAGATGGCCATGCGCAGTTCCTTCTCCATTTGCCTCTCAGGATTTGGGGCATGCACACACATGAGTTTTAAGCCACAGGGTGTAGGACTCAAACCTGTTGACTTAAGTGGGAGTCCAGCAACATAACCATTATGCCATCTGCTGGTCCCATAAGACTATGTTTTTGACAAGTGTAGCAGAGAGAAATTTAATGTGCTGCCTTAAATATGAGCATAAAGCCGTTGTTTAATATATCCTCTACCCTTTTAGTTGAGGATTATTAGCTCTTGTAGTATAATTATTGATATTTCCATTTTAGCATTTTGGGGACAGGGTTGATAATACAAAATTACTTTGCTAATCAGTATCAGAAAAATTATTATGGTCTCTTTGTTGATAACTTAGAATAAGTAATATCCCTTAGCTTCTACATAATTTGCCTTGTTTCCTTTACAAGAAAGTAGTGCTACTGCATGTAAGCAATTTTGTAAGGATAGATATTTTTCATGAAAGTGCAGAGGAATCATAGTCACTATTTTGAAACACTGTCATGTTTGTATAAGAGGCTTGCCTAGAGAATATTCTGAATTTTAATTTCTGTTGAAAAATCAACTATGTTGGAAGCACTGTGTAAGTATGTTTTTAGGAGTAGGTTACTTCCATAGTTAACATTAATTATGTCTCTTAAAGAAGTCACAAGTTAAACTGCCTCCTTTTATTTTAAAGACTAGAGCAAGGCTTTGGTAGATTTGTTTTCCTCCTCCCTTTGCTTAAATTTTTGCAGGTGTTTGAAGTTTTTAGAGAAGAGCTTTCATACATAATCATGGCATCTCACGCTTTTGAGCTTATGCTAAGAACTGCTTCAGTGAAATTGATATTTATTACAGCTACTAGTAGTAGGGTCTTGAATACATTCTCATTTAAGCTGCACATCAGTCCTATTAGGTAGCTGTGTGCCCCTTTTTCAGATGAGGAAGCTACCGGAATAAATACAGGTGGTCATGAATGAGCTTTTACCCTGTCCCTTCACCCCAACTGTTTAGTGAAAAAGGAAAGTAAAAATGCTGGTACCATAATATGTAATTTGATTTCATATTAATCTTCACATTTGCTCAGAATGAGTATAAATCTGATAAAATCTCTTTTCTTAATGTGCACCTTATAAAAGAATCTAATAATTTTATGTAATTCTGTTAATGTCTTGTGTTTAAACTATATTTCACATTACTAAAAATTTTTACAGTACTAATCTGTAGACATCTAAAATTTTGTTTCCACAGTCCCAAAATACAAAATATTTCATTAAATGAACTGAAAATTAAGGTTCTCTATATAAAGCTCCAAATGCTGAAGTAGTACATGTTCTATAAAGGAAAACTTAATGTACTTCGGGGTTGATATTGACATCTAATGGTATATGTCAGAGCTCACATTAGGTTGTGGGGCCAGCAGTTAGCATAATGACCATATCGCTGGACTCCCGTGTAGTCAACTGGGATTCGAGTCCCGGAACCAGTGGCTTAAAACTCACACCAGGCGCATGTGCCTCCGTGCCCAAGATCCCAAGAGGAGAAGGGATTGAGGCGTGGCCATCCCCTCTGGGGGGGGGGGGGATTTCTCACTTTCTGTCTCTCTGTCTCTCTTTCTGGCAAGCACACGTGCCCTATAGCAAAAACTTCTTCAAAAAAAAAAGCTCACATTAGGTTGAAATAATTTTTTCTTTTTTTGAGAGAGATTTCTGCTGTGGGGCATGTGCACTTGCCATAGAGACAGAAGGCAAGAAATCACCCTCTGGGGCGATGGCCACACCGCAGTCCCTTCTCTTTTCTCTTCTTGGGATCTTAGACATCATGCACATGCGCCCTGCTTGAATTGTAAGCCACTGGCTTGACCTACCACCAGGTCCGGGGCTTGAACCATGGTCAACTACATGGGAGTCCAGTGACATAACCATTAGCCATCCACTGGTCCTGAAATAATTTTTTCTTACAGTGAACTATATATAGATTGTAAAGATTGTGAAAGCACTTACATTGATAACATAGATTTGGCTGTCATATGTTCCCTTTTCAGCCCAGTGTTTATTCCATTTTTTTTATTTCCTAAATGTCTTGTATATTGTTACTTAACTTTTTAAAAAGAATTATTTATTTAATTTTATTTGTTGTTATTATGTAACTTGCTATAGGGCACACATGCTAGAGAGCGAGAGAGAGAAGTGTGAGCAAACAAGCAAACAAGCCACCAGGGCCAGTAGTCAAACCACAGACAGCCATGGGAGTCCAGAGCTTTAACCACCATGCCACCTGCTGGCCCTGGTATTGATACATAACTTTTTTTTTTCCATTTTATTTAACTTTATTTATTCTAATTTGACCAGAGAGGGGCAGAGAGAGAGAGAGAGAAAGCTAGAGAGCAGACCACCAGGTCCAGGACTCCTACCACTGTTGGCCGTGTGGGAGTCCAGCGCCCTCAACAACCACTTGCTGACCCCAATACACAATGTTTATGAGGATTATGTAAAGACAAATAAAAGCTAAGTCCTTGTGACACATTGAGTCTTTTCAAAGAAATAAGGACTAAGAGTAAATTCACTCTCTACTTTTCCCCTTCACCTCTACATTTAAGAATAGGTCTGCTCTAAAGAGACTCCAGGGTTTTTACCATTGCTTTAAAAGACAAGGAGAAAAACTTCTTAAAAAAAAAAAACCAACAAACTCTTTGAGAGTAAGTAGAGCCAAATAGTTACTTACTGTGTCCAGAAATAAATTGCTAGATCTGGAATCATTCATGTAGAAGTGACCTCATAGAGGCACCAGCAGTTAGCATAATGGCTATATTGCTGGGTTCCCATGTAGTTGACTGCGGTTCGAGTCCCCCGAACCCAGTGGCTTAAACTCACGCTGGCCACGTGTGTGTGTGCACGCGCGTGCATGCCCAAGATCCTGAGAGGAGAATGGGGGAGAAGGGATTGCGGCATGCCCATCCCCCGCCGGGGGGGTGATTTCTCGCTTTCTGTCTGTCTCTGTCTGGCAAGCACAAGCGCCTGATAGCAAAAACCTCTCAAAAGAAAAAAGAGGGAAAAAACCCCCCACACACAAAGGGGAAAAAAACAAACAAAAAAGAAATTACCTAAGGTCACCAGATGGTGAAATGATTGCATCACTAGACTCCTACATGGCCAACCATGGTTGGAGTCCTGGACCTGGTGGCTTGAAAAGCATACCAGGCATGTGTGCATTTGTGCCTAAGATCCCAAGAAGAGAATGGAGAACAAGGTATTTCGGCGTGGCCATCCCTCTTGGGTGGTGACTTCTCACTTTCCCTCTCACCGTCTCTGTCTCTCTTTCTGTCCTCCTACCTAGCACACATGCCCTATGGCAAAAATCTTTTAGAAAGGAGGCAGGGAAGGAGGGTGAAAGGAATGAGGGAAGGGAAGGGAAGGGAAGGGAAGGACAGACCTAATAGAAATAGCGTTGGACTCCCACATGGCTGACTGTGATTTGAGTCATAGACCTGGCAGTTTGATTTCTCACCTTCCCTCTCACTTGCGCTCTGTCTCGTCAAATTAAAAAATAGTACATTAAATTAAATAATTATTTGGAAAAAGAAAAAAAATATTATGCTTCAACCTCATTGTGCAGCTGTGATATATGTGATCTAGCTTGCCTTTCAGATGACAAGAATACAGGAGTGAATAAAATTGAGTTGCTGCCAGTCGTTAGAGTAGTTCTGCCAACTCCCCTTTTCATGGTACCTTTTTCTGGAGCAATCTTCATGGAAATCTGTACAGTATAATAGGATTAGACCACTAATACTGTATTCCATTTATTAGCAGATAGTGTGTTCAGCTAGTTGTCATATTTGACGTTAATATTTTTATAGTAAGAATATGTTCACTTCATTTATGCATGCTTTAAATTTTCTAGATTCTCTATTCCAGAATTATTTTCTGGATAAAGGGAAACCTCAAAGTAAGAAAAGATAGGCATTGGGACCAACAGATGGCGTAATGGTTACATTGCTGGACTCTGACATAGTGAGCCGCAGTTCAAGTCCCAGACCTTGGTGACTTAAACTCATGCTGGGTACATGTGCGCCCAAAATCCTGAGGGGAGAATGAAGGAAAAGGGATTGCAGTGTGGCCATCCCTGCTTGGGGGTGATTCCTCACTTTGTCTTTCTGTCTCTGTAGCAAGCACACACACCCTATAGCAAGAATCTCTGGGGAAAAAAAAATGATAGGCACTTAAAAAAAAAACCCCAAAAACAGAAATCTTGACTAATTATAGCCCATGGATCACAGTTTAAAGAGCATTTATGCTGCAGTCAAGTCTAAATGTACTTGATGCTGTTTGTTTTTCAGTTTGTGTTTACCCCAAATTTTTGCCTTTATATGTTGTTTCTATGTGTAAAGCCCCTGGGTTTTTTGGTTTGTTTCTTTGTGATCAATATTTAGAGCCAATTTTCAGTTTTAGCTGTGTCAGTCACAGAAAAATAGTTATCATTTGGGTTTTACTATGTTTTGGTTTTACTAAAACTAATCAATGTGGTTTTGTTTTTGTTTTTGTTTTTTAAGAATTACTTTCAGGACCAGCAGTTGGCATAAGGGCTATGTCACTGGGCTCCCGTGTAGTCAACTGCAGTTCGAGTTTTGGACCTGGTGGCTTAAACTCACACTGGGTGCGTGTGTGCCCAAGATTCCAAGAGAAGAATAAGGAATCACGGCATGGCCATCCCCGCTGGGGGGTGATTTCTCGCTTTCTGTCTCTCCATTTCTCTTTTTCTGGCAAGCACACACACCCTATAGCAAAAGCCTCTCCCCAAAAAAGAATGAAAAAAAAAAAAAGAATTACTTTCATTTAACATTTATTTATTTATTTTAATTTTGCCAGAGATGGGGGAGAGGGAGAGAGCAAAGCCACCAGGTCCAGGATTTGGACCGTGGTTGGCCATATGGGAATTCAGCACCCTTAACCACCATGCCACCTGCTGGCCCCTAAAACTAATCAAGTTTTATCATACTTGATTAAATCTATAAATACAATGCAGTATTGACTATAAATGCTTTTAGTTGTATAGACTTTGGAAAATCATACTTTTTAGAAAGAATTCTATTTGTTTTTGTTATAGGGCACATACACTCATTAGAGAGAGACAGAGAGAGGTGGCCACACCACAGCCCCCTTTCCAGTCTCCTTAGTATTTTGGGTGCACATGTACATGCACTCAGTGTGATTTTCAAGTCACCAGATCTGGGACTTGAACTGTGCAATCAGCTATGTGGGATCCAGCTCCTTAACCTCCACACCACCTGCCAGCCCCAAAAAGTCTGTATTTCTTAAATTCTGTTTTGAAACTATTAAATAGGAATCTTTTGTGCTTTTGTGATTTAATGTATAAATAAATAAATGAATGGCACCTTAAATAATCATTCCAGTGCTATCTTTGCCTCTGGGAAATCTCCAAACCTAATCCTGCCTTATAACCTCCCCTATATGGTCATTATACCTTTCTCTCTTATTTAAAGAGAATAAAGAGTTCCTTATTTATTTATTTATTTACTTACTTGCTATAGGGTATGTACACTTGCTAGAGAGAGAGAGTGAAAAAGGAAGGGAGAGAAAGAGAAAAATATCACCCACCACCTCACTGGCTGATCCTCCCCTTTTCTTTATTTTTTTTATAAAACTTTTAATTTAATTTTATTTATTCATTTATTTATTTTAATTTGACCAGAGAGAGACATGGGAGGGGGAAGCAGCTTACCAGGTCCAGGAATTGAACCATGGTTGGCTATTTGGGAGTATCCAGTGCCTCAACCACTGTGCCACCAGCTGGTCCCTTTTTTTTTAATTTTTAAAATTTATTTCCTCCCCTTTTATTTTTTTGTATAAGCAAAATCAAATGTTTTTCTTCGTAGTGCTTATTAATCCAGAGACCCATTATTCCAAAACTATATTAAGCTAGATCTGTAACCTTGGTCTCCTAACTCTTTTTTAATCCGTTTGTATTTGATTCCCTATCCCACTTCTAGCTTTTTGTCTTTTTACTTATTTTCAGGGCCATCCCTTAAAGCATCATCTCTTTCTCCATAAATACATTGTTCTTCCAGTGTAATAGAATACATTCTATAGGATTAATTGGCAAATGGGGGGGGGGAACCAATTTTAAATGATTAACTAGCTTTCTGTCTTCTCAGTGTATTTTTAAATAGCCTTATATAACAGATTTGACGTACAATGTGCACTAATTTCATCATTGACTTAATAGAAACAAGTCAGATTACTAAAAGACATCTTCTACACCTACATATTTATGCCTTCTGTTTGAAATTATAATTAGCTCATCTTTTATGAGAAAAATAATATATAAATCAAAGTATTTTTAATACCTCTTATGGCTGGCTTAAAAAGGTAATAACCAAGATTTTCGAGTAGTAGAATTAAATAATTTGAGAGGCTGTAACCTTGAAGTCTTTCTTGACGTTCCTGTTCAACTTCTAAGATTGTGTGAGATGTACTTGAGGAACACATCCCTCAAGAAAATAACTCCAGGTTGTATTAACACTGTAGTTTGGGGTAATTATGGACCTTTCCATAACCAGGAATTTGGCACGATTAGTACTATATTATTTTTTAAAAAAATGAGAATTTATTAGCCAATTATATTATCTTACATGTGACTGTTCACAAACTAGTTTGTATATAAGAATTTATAGATCTTAATTTCAAAAAGCAAAATTCTACAAATAACCAGATAATTCTACAACTTACATGGTAGTATTTATTTGAAGGGCTTTTACCTTTTTGTAAACTCTGTTTATAATTTTAAATTGCTCTGTATTTCATGCTAGTTAATTCATGGGAGCCTCTTCTACTGCCACACAATCTCAGTTCCTGCTGTATACTCTAACAAACAGTGGAAGAGACTGTTGGGTCAGTAGGTGACAACTGCAGAGGTATCTTCCTTGTAACGATGCTTTTTGAGGTTGCTGCTCCCATCAATCTGCTCAGTAAAAATAGCTCATCTTGGTAAGTTGTTTCGACTTCACCAGGACCTGAAGAAGAAGCAGAAAAACCTGTGAAAACTAAGACTGTTTCTTCCAGTAATGGAGGGGAAAGTTCCAGTCGCAGCGCTGAGAAGCGATCAGCTGAAGAAGAAGCTGTAGACCTTCCAACAAAGCCTACAAAGATCTCCAAGTTTGGATTTGCCATAGGTAGTCAGACGGCAAAGAAAGCATCAGCCATATCCATCAAACTTGGATCAAGTGTGAGTTGTTGTTTTTTTATATATGATGTTTGTAATGGGTCTTAAGGATTTGTTTTGAAAACTTTTTTACTAAGTTATGCTAAGTATAAAAATTTATATTGCCTAAGAAGTGATCTTTGTGGGACCAGCAGCAGTTGGCCTAATGACTGTGTCGCTGGACTCCCACATAGTCGACTGTGGTTTGAGTCCTGGACCCGGTGGCTTAAACTCACGCCGGGCGTGTGTGTGTGCATGCCCAAGATCCTGAGAGGAAAATGGAGGACAAGGGATTGCGGTGGGGCTATCCCCCAGGAGATGATTTCTCGCTGTCTCTCTGTCTCTCTGTCTATTTTTCTGGTGAGCGCACGCGCCCTATAGCAAAAACGTCTCCCAGAAAAAAAGAAGTGATGTTCACTTGTACTTGCATGTATATATTTACATGTGTGTATTTAAGAAGTGATTAGCACCCTGTTCAAGAAAGGTCTGGATGAATTATATCTCAATACACTTTTTTTTAAAAAGAATTATTTAATTTTATTTATTGTTATTTTTTAATTTGACTAAAGAGAGAGAGAGAGGGAAATTGAGAAAACGAGCTGCCAGGCCTGGACTCAAACTGTGGTCAGCCATGTGGGAGTCCAGTGCCATAACTACCACACCACCTGCCAGCCCTGTAAAGCTATTTTTTTAAAAAGAAGAAAAGGGTTGGACTATTAGCCGAAACAACTATTGCTGGGATATAAAATTTATAACGTACTAAGTTAGGATTTTTCCAAATTGATCCAAAACCTCTGAAAAATATTGTTACAAAGAATTTCAATTTTTTTTTTTATTTTTCAGTGCCAATAGTAACATAACATCTCTATAAATTATTTGTATCTTAAAAGATTAGTATTGCTTTACAAGAGTACCTTCCTAATTATCTTACTTTGGAACTAAAAATGGACATTGAGTATTATGTGTCTCATGATAATTATCCTTTATAGATCAATACTTGAGTTCCTGTTTTAAGTTGTAAATCTTGAACTAATACTATTAACCATGGAACTTCTGGAAGTATTTGAAATATTAAGTAGAACCATATTAGGTTGTAAATACTTGTTTCTGACCTACCATGTGACAGTTTTATATGATTCAACTAAATAGCGCTTTCATTTAAAAAAGAAAAAAAGTTACTTACATAATTTATTGCTATTGGCTTTAGAAAATGGTTCCATTCTTCTGTGGAGAAAAATCCTAAAATTGCCTGGAGTTGTTTATTTGTGCCATTCTGTTAGTGCTCAATTATTAAATGTATTTAGCTTTATTTCTCCATTAGGTGTTCACTCAGAGGATCTTAAAAATACTATCTGGATCAGTTTTCTGCTAGAGTCAGTATGTTTGAGCTGTTCTACTACTTTAAAAGAACTACTATTCTTAGAATCTCTGCCCTGTCGCTGTGTTGTTTTGCCTTTTTACTTCCTTTAAAAAAAAAAAAAAACTCGTCTAAACAAAAAATGTACCACTTGTGGACATTGTTTCATTACTGTTTTTCTCTAGTTCAGCTGATTGTTTTTGTTTAATACATTTTTAACACATTTTTTGAGTAGACCCAATATATAAATCATTTTATTTGATAGATAGTGTATTAAACATATTCTCATGTCCCTTATATAATAGTTTACTATTTTTGAACATACTCTTAATCCAACCGTACTTTTTCTAAGTTATTGACATGATTTAGTAATTACTGCTTTTTTAAAAAGAATTATTTATTTAATTTTATTTATTTATTCATTTATCTTTAATTTGCCCAGAGACACACATACACACACACAGGGAGAGGGAGAGGGAAAGTGAGAAAGTAAGCTACCAAGTCCAGGACTTGAACCACAGTCGGTCATGTGGGAGTGTCTAACACCTTAACTACCACACTACCTGCTATCCTCCAATAATTTCTGATTATTTTAGGTTGTAAGGTTATTTATATTTGAAAAAGCCTATTCATTAAAGCTTCTTCATTTGGGAAAACAGACTTGTGAAGTATAGGATATTTTAAAAAAGTTGAAACTGTTGCTTTCAGTGATATGATGTGAAAAAATAGTTCAACAATTGGTAAATACTTATTTGTGTCTTATGTTGTTTCTACATCAAATACAGCTCATCTTTAAAAGAGTCAAGAATGTTTCTAGAGTCATTCACTGTGCATAATCTCCAAATTCACCTTTTTAATTCCTTTAAAAGCAAACATTTTGAAGATGAAGGAAGGTGGTGGGGGTGTGGAAGAAGGAATGACTAATTTTGTTTCAGCTCCAGGAAAAAAGATTATACTGATTAAATGATAGTGACATGGGGTAGAATGGTGAAAAGTCAGGAGAGTTAAATCTAATAGGGGTCAAACTTAGAAGTTAGGGTAAAGATTTTCTGGCTTGGTACTCATACACACTATACAATTAAAGTACCCGGGAGAGTTCTTAAGTGAAACTTTCCAGTCAGTCAACAGAGGATAGCCTGTTCGGGGATGTTCATAGGATTTGGTAGTTAAAACTATGGGGATGAATGAGTGAAGGTGACCAGAAAGAGAAAAAGGTCACTAACTACCGAATCCTGGGTGTCTAGCTTAGTACAGAATGTCAAGAGGAGAGAGACAGAAAAAATTTGTCAGAGAATTAAAAGAATAATCAATAAAAAGTACTGTCACAGAAGCAAAGATAAGGGTATTTTCAAAAAGGACCTGGTAGTTATGGTCAAATGCAACACACGGTCATGGTTGGCCTCAAAGAAAATAATTTCAGCGGAATTGTGAGTGAAGGGAGCCAAATTGCAGTGATGAATTTGAGAATGAGTGGGTAATGAGAGGATCACCATAGGACAATTTACTTTCCTAAAATTTTGATCAAAGAGAAGGCATGGATGAACCATGTCATAGGTCAAAGGGCGGAAAGCCAACTGATAAAGAAATATTAGTCATAATGACTTTTATATTCTCAAGGCACCTTGTGGCTAACTTACCTATGGAAAAACATTATTATTATTAAAGAATTATTTTATTTATTTATTTGTTTAAGTTTTTTTGTTTGTTTGTTTTTTGTTTTTTTGCTATAGGGTGCGTGCACTCTCCAGACAGACAGAGACAGAGAGACAGAAAGCAGGAAATCACCCCCCAGGGGGGATGGCCACACCACAGTCCCTTCTCCTCCATTCTCCTCTCAGGATCTTGGGCACGCACGCACACGCACCTGGCGTGAGTTTAAGCCACCGGGTCAGGGATGTGAACCACGGTCTACTACATGGGAGTCCAGCGACATAGCCATTACGCTAACTGCTGGTCCCAGGTTTTTATTTTTCTTTTTTTTTTTGGTGAGATTTTCGCTATAGGGTGCGTGCGCTCACCAGACAGAGAGACATAGAGACAGAAAGCGAGAAATAACCCCCCAGGGGGGATGGTCACGCTGCAATCCCTTCTCCATTCTCCTCTTGGGATCTTGGGCACGCATGCACACGCGCTCGGCGTGAATTTTAAGCCACCGGGTCCGGGATGCGAACTGCAGTCGACTACGTGGGAGTCCAGCGACATAGTCATTACGCTAACTGCTGGTTCCCTTTTTTTTGGGGGGGGAGAGGTTTTATGCTATAGGGCGCGTGCACTTGCCAGAGAGACAGAGACAGAGAGACAGAAAGCGAGAAATCACTCCCCAGGGGGATGACCACGCCGCAATCCCTTCTCCATTCTCCTCTCGGGATCTTGGGCACGCACGCACATGCGCCTGGTGTGAGTTTAAGCCACTGGGTCCGGGACTCAAACCGCAGTCGACTACATGGAAGTCCTGCGACATAGCTGTTATGATCAGAGAGACACACAATGTGTGTGTGAGAGAGAGAGACAGGCAGACAGAGAGAAAGAAGGCAAGCTGCCAAGTCTGGGACTCAAACTGCGGCTGGCCCTGTGGGAGTCCAATGTCCTTAACCAATATGCCAACTGCTGGTGCCAAAAAGCATTATTATTAATAAACCACTCTCTTAGCTATACCAAGACCCCTTAGCAGAATGATACCCAATTATATATCCTAATGGGAAAATCGTTTTGTTTTTTTTTTAATAATTATTTTATTTAACTTTATTTATTTATTTAAATTTGACGAGAGAGAGAGAGAAGGAAAATGAGAAAGCAAGCCTCCAGGTCTGGGAATTGAACCAAGGTCAACCATTTGGGAGTCTAGTGCCCTTAACCACCATGCCACCTGCTGGCCTCCCTAACTGGAAGATCTTTTACAAGAGGGAAGTAAATGTATACGACAAATTAGTAAAGCAAAGCCTACCCACATTTTTTAAAAATGAGAATGGATTTGTCTAAAGTACTGAATTTGTCATTACGTAAGATTCTATAAAAATATAAATTTGAATCTTTGAAGATAAATTATATTAAATAAGCCTATGTAAGTGTTACTTATGTGATTGATGCTCTTTTTATTATGTTTCTTCTTCAGAAGCCTAAAGAAACTATTCCAACTCTTGCTCCAAAAACCCTATCAGTAGCAGCGGCTTTTAATGAAGATGAAGATGTAAGTTGACATACTTTTGTTTATATTACTTTAACCCGTTCTTCTAAGAAGGTGTTACTGGCAGTTTTGTTGATTATATTAACGGTATTAGTGAATTTCCTTCACAAAAGTTTTTTTGTGACACCTATAAAAACTGGATGTTTTGGGAGTAGTAGATGGCGCAATAGCATAATTGTCAACCACAGTTCGAGTCCCAAACTTGGCCGTTTAAAACTCAACACTGGGTACAGGTGTGTGCATCCCAAAATCCTAAGAGGAGAATGGAGGAAGAGGGATTGCGGCATGGCCATCACTCCTGAGGGGTGATTTCTCACTTTCTGTCTCTCTGGCCCTGTCTCTCCAGCGAGCACATAGGCCTTATAGTAAAATCTCTCTTTAAAAAAAGGAAAGAAAGAAATTTTAGATAAGTTCAGACAACATTCTTTCTATCATTATAGTAGTAAAAGATAAATTTTACTTAGATAAAAGAGCACATGCATCCAAAATCTTCATCCATTCTACATTTTTTTAAAGAGGTTTTTGCTTTAGAGCGTAAGCACTTGCCCAAGAGAGAGGCAGAGACAGAAAGAGATAGTGAAGCGGAAAGTGAGAAATGACCCCTGCAGGAGGACGGCCACACTGCAATCCTCTCTCCTCTATTCTCCTTCTAGGATGTTGGGCACGCGTGCACATGTGCCCGACATGGTCCTCAGTCCACTGGGTCCAGGCCTCGAGTCCCTATGCCATCTACTGACCCCCATTCTACATTTTTTTGGAGAACATAATTAACTTCAGATATATGTCTGAGTCTGAAGTATATTAAACAGAGGATATTCATTTAATTAGTTAATTTTGAATTTTTAAAATAATTCTTCCCCAAATTTTTGTTTAGTTGTTGTAGCTCTTTAATCTCCTTAAATGTATTTAATTCCTGAATATTCCATGGCACTAACAATTGTGAAGAATACAGGCCAGTTTTTTTATATAGTATCTCTCAATTTTGACTTGTTTAATGTTTCCTCGTGATTAGATTCACGTTTCTTACTTTTGGTAGGAATGAGGAATGCTACAGAAGCAATGCCAAGTACTCAGTGTGTCATATCGAGGAGTACATGCCCCGTTACTGGCAGTGCTAAATTGATCATTTGGTTAAAAGTGGTATCCGCTGGGACTAGCAGTTAGCGTAATGGCTATGTCGCTGGACTCCCATGTAGTCGACCGTGGTTTGCATCCTGGACCTGGTGGCTTAAAACTCACGCCGGGCATGTGTGCATGCCCACGATCCCAAGAGGAGAATGGAGGAGAAGGGATTGTAGCGTGGCCATCCCCTCTAGGGGGGTGATTTCTCGCTATCTGTCTCTATGTCTCTCTCTGTCTGTCTGGCGAGTGCACGCGTCCTATGGCCAAAACTTCTATAAAAAAGAAAAAAGTAATATCTGCCAGATTTATCCACTGTCAGAATAACTGTTTTACCTTTTGTAATTAAAATATATCTTATGGGAACCAGCAGTTAGTGTAATGGCTATGTCGCTGGACTCCCACGTAGTTGACCATGGTTCGCGTCCCAGGCCCAGTTGCTTAAAACTCATGCCGGCCGCATGTGCGTGCGTGCCCAAGGTCCTGAGAGTAGAATGGAGGAGAAGGGATTGTGGCGTGACCACAATCTGTGGTCTATGTCTCTCTGTCTCTAAGTCTCTCTCTGTCTGTCTGGCGAGCGCACGCGCCCTATACCAAAAACCTC